CTGTCACCTCCCTCTCTCCGCGACGGCCGCTGATCGTTCCTGTCCCAGGAGTTCTAGCACAGTGCTGTGCTAGAACTCCTATGTTGGAGGTGACAGGGTCAATAAGGAGTACCTGTCTCCTCCAAATGCTATCACACAGGGGATTGTTATCCCCTGTCTGATAGCAATACAGTTAAGTTTAGAAAAAAAAATAAACTAAATTAAAAATGTAAAAATAAAAAAGGCGATTAAGTAAAAATAATAAAACAAATGAATTTTTTTTTACAAAGTAAATAAAAATTGAAAAAAAATAAAACCAGCCCCGCTGACCCCATCTGCATGCGAATAAACACGTAGTGTTTTCAACTGCGATCGTGTGAAACCGCATGGGCAGGGCGGTATTGGAGCAGGAAAACGCGTAATCTGCCTGTACCTATTTTCACGACATGCACCGCGCAGTGTTTTCAACCGTGATCGTGTGGTAGCGCCCAGGCGGTATTGCAGCAGGAAAATGCGCAATCTGCCTGGCACGACTGTGGTGCCATTAGAAAATGTTGGCACTGACCACGCAATCGGCAGTGGTGTGCGATCCGTGACTTCCCCGTCATCGTGCACGAAACCGAGCGGATGGCTGGCTGGTCACGGAATCGCACACCACCGCCGATCGTGCTGTGAGTGCCATTATTTTCTAATGGCACCCCAGTCGTAACCCCATACATGCGGATGCAACCGCACATGATCGCACGTCCAAGGAATCCCCAAGTCTGCACCAACCCTAAAAGGGTATATTCACTTTCCCAAGTAATTTGGGAAAATGGAATTACCCGCACAAATCTCCCTCCCACTATACTTACCTTTCGGCGAACGGTCCTTCCCTTCCACCAGTTTGGGTGTACGATCTGTACCTGTTCCATGTATTCTAAATTTCGCATTTTAGCACTGCTAAATACAGTTTTGGTTAAAATGATTTCTTTGTTCCAGGACCAGAGCAGACGCACTGGCTGAATGCCCTTCGTGGTAGAGCAGGAGGAGACGGGGCGGAGTGGCAGGGGGCGGAGACAGGAGATGGGCGGACATCGAAGAGTCGGGGTGAGGATGGAGGAGACTGGAGGGCCGATGACTGTAGCGGAGGAGGCGGGGCAAAGGCGCAAGATGGAGGAGACTCCAGAAGCAAAGTTGATTGGGTGCCGAGGCAGTGGAGGAGGCCTTTTTTCAGGAGACAACTGTGCTGGCAGGGCCCAGCATAGATTCTGCACAGCCTCCCTGAGATCCGGCAGACTGCAGGGTCTCTGCAGGAGACAGCTTCCTGAGACCGGTGGGGGCGCAAAATTTTGTTCTGCCTGTAGCTCTGGTTACGCCACTGATCAAGTTGATTCGGCCCCTGCTTTAGTCCTTGGACAAGTAGTTTTTTCAAAAATTTCCACACCCCTGTACACACACACACACACACACACTATATTAACCTCCTTACCGTATTTCCATATATGCAGCACCTTATTCAGACCACCTAATTCATATGTCCAGTAGCCAATCAACTCTGAATGTGCCATTCGCAGATGAAAATTCTCATTTGTTAGCTTTGTGAATTGGGTCATCATTGAAGGCTTGATAGAGTAGGTGCGGAATTCATAGAAATCAGTATCATGTTGACGTGGGCCTGTTGCAAAGGCTGCTTTAGCCTGAAGGAGAAAAATAAGCATTTTATAAAGCCACCTTTAAAACAGAAATACTGAATATCTCAAAACAATATAAACATAGTAACACAAATTCTTGTAACCTTCTGCTGAACGTAGCCAGGGCCTGCGTTCCAAAGGAATGGAAAGATACCTCGCAAATGCAGGAAAACCTGGTTCTACTACCGTAGCATGAGATCCAATTCTCTCCAGAACACAGGATAAAACAGTAACCACCACAGGCCCTGGATCTTTCACCATCCCTTACCGATCAAACCCACAATGCCCTGCCCAGATCTACACCCCCAGCCCCCCCCCTTTTTTTCCCCACTTCCTTCCATTTCTCCTACACACACACACTTTCCCTTTCCCTTTCCCCCTAGCCTCTCCCAACATACCCCCTTCTCTTACCCTCCACTCTCTAAATAGCCCAATAGCCCATACAGTAGGCGAAGGCAGTACAGCGGCTCAGCCAAGCCGAAGGCATATGCTTCGGTTCAACTGAGGCAAAGTGATGGCCAAAGCAGGAAGAACGGCCTGCCAAGGGGCCAACCGTTCTCCACGCAAATGGCAGCTGAGCGGAGTCAGCCGTGATCTCATGGCTGGCTCCGCCCAGTTGTAATGACAGATCACGTCCCCAAATCACCTGGGGACGCTGATCTGTCATTAAACAAACAATAACAACTGGGTGGGGCCTGCCATTACATCATAGCTGGCTTCGCCCAGTTGTTATTCATTGGCCAGGACCTGCTAGAAGACTCTGGAAGGTTCCGGCCAATAGGAAACAGTTGGGCGGAGCTAGCTGTCACCGCTAGCTCCGCCCAATTGG